AGACCAACTTTTTCAAACATTTATATAGGCCATTCATGACTTCTTGATCTTTCTCAACCTCTGGATTGGAATAGAAAAACTCTGGGTTCAAAAAATACCCAGCTGCATGCAAAGGCCGATGCAATTGAACTTCCCACCTTCAGTCAATGATTTCAAAGATGTGTTTGTACTTCTCTTCATTGCCATTAAAAGAATTAGCAATCGCTTCTTTAGCCCGGTCCATAGCTTCATAAATGTACCCCATGGGAGGCTTTTTCTCACCATCAACCAATCGAAGCACACGGACAAGAGGGCCAGTAAGCTTAAGAGAGTAGACAACATTACTCCAAAATGAAGGCATTAAAATGATTTGTGTTGTCCTTTTGCCTTGTTGTTCTTTTGCCCATTTGCTTGTAGTCCATTCCTCTGAAGTGAACATTTTTCTCAAGTTACCTTTTTGTTGGTTGATCCTTGTTAGCGTAAGAAAAGCCGTAGCAAATCTAGTTTTTGCGGGCTTAATCAACTCCCTTGACTGGGTAAATCGTCTCATCATATTCAACAGAGTTGGACGGTTATAAATATAACCGTGTAATGCTATTCCTCTTTCAAATGTTCTCTTGAAGTTTGGCAACTTGAAGATATCTTCCAATACCAAGTCCAAGCAGTGGGCAGCACATGGCGTCCAATATAGATTGGGTCGTTTTGCCTCCAAAAACTTACCTATTAAATAAAGATTTTTTTACCAACTAGTGTGCATAAAAAAAATTCAATATAACAAGTAGTTATCTTTTTTTTTTTTTCAAGAAGCTCATACCTGCTAACACATTTGCTGCCGCATTATCAGTGACAATTTGAATCACATTAGCTTCACCAATACGCTCTACAAAATTATCAAGCAATTCAAACATTTTTTGCCCATCCTTTGAGTATGCAGAAGCATCAACAGATTCAAAGAACATGGTCCCTTTTGGACAATTCACTAAGAAATTAATCAACGTTCTCCCTCTCTTGTCAGTCCATCCATCGGCCATTATGGAACATACATATTTTGCCCAATCCTCTTGGTGATCTTTCATCAATGACTTTATATGCCCTACTTCTTTGTTGAGCAATGGGACCCGAACCTCATGGTAAGAAGGGGGCTTCAAACCAGGACCATATTGTCCAAAAGTTTCAACCATTGCTGCAAAACTTTCATAGTTCACAACATTAAAGGGAATTCCCGTGTAATACATCCATCGGGCAAATGTTGTGATGGCTCTTTCTCTCATTTCCTTTCTAAAAGGATCGCTGGCATCAATATTCGTTTGTCTCCCCTTGGTCTTTCGATTTTGCACCACAACATTCGGATCAGGGGTGAAGTATACATCCATAGGCCCTTTTTGTCTTGGCTTTTTTGGTCTCGATGTGGCTTGTGTAGAACCTTGCCTAGAACTAGTCATGGATCTTTTACGATTCGCAACAATCTCTACAATATCATCTTCATCCTCCTCCAAGTCATTAGGCATCTCATCAAAGTCGGAAACCATGTTTATTAGATTCTTCTCTTCCTTTTTTTTAGCCATGTATTCTCTAATCTCCTCCCTAACATGAGCAGGGCATTTTGGACCAGTAATAACACTCCTAGAGTTCCCTGCTAGGTGTTGCTTGACCCGATAGACATTTCCATTTGACTCTTTTCCACAAAAATTGCATTTGAACTTGTTTGTGTTTTGAGGATTTACCAAGTGTGCATATTTCCATGCCGGATCTTTTTTGTTCCCTTCGGACGACGATGCCATTTATGAATAACACTATCACACTACAATCAAAGGAACAAAACACATTCACATGTACTGAATCACATTTTATATCAATTGTAAACAATTTTATATTGACAGGACATGACAACAAAAGAAGCAGAATCAGGACAACAGTAGAATGCAACAACAAAAAAAAAACAGACGACTGAGGAAAAAAAAATTGAAGCAGCACAGGAGCAATTTCATATTGACTGGACAAAAGCAGAATCAGGACAACAACACAAAAAAAAAAACCAGAAGCAAAATGAGCAGAAAAAAAAAAAAACCAGAAGCATTACGTTGTAAACAATTTCATATTTAACATGTAAACAATTTAACTTGTACTGAATGCATTAAGTCTTGCATTTTCATTTGTTTGTATAATTCTTATGCAGTCTCCGACCATATTGTTACCAAATGAAACTAAGCTTACACACGATTATTCACCAAAGGCATGCCCCACCCCAATTTTTTTTTTCAAAATAAGTTATTTTTAAATTTATTTCTCAAATTCAATCACTTTTAAAAGACATTATTTTAAATAACGCCTTCATGAATTAAAAGATTATTTGAAATAATGTTTTTAAAGACATGATTTGGCATGACGCCTTTAACGCACTACACATCAAATTTAGTTCAATATTTATATTTAGTGCATGAAAAACGTTATATTTAAACGTCTTTTAAAAATGACTAAATTTAAGAAATAAGTTTGAAAGTGATTGATTTTAAAAAAAAATAAATTTTTGAAGTGCATGGGTTTGGTGAATTCCTCCTTGTTCACGGAAAGCATATATGATACCAAAATCAATGGCTCCACGAATTCAATAATCATCTGTCCAATTTTTCTTGCATTTTCTATAGAATACCTACGAAGCATTATAGTGAGTTCACTAATCCAATGATGTAAAGGGACTAATGAGAAAACAAAATAGTAAAAAATTGATAAGTAAAGCCTTATTAATGCTATCAAATTATGTAAAGTAAAGGCACACCATTATACCAACAAATTATATTAGAAATTTAGATTCAAATAACATTGTTCTATTATTCGAAACACGGGCCTAATCACCTATAATGATCATATCATGTGAGAGTGAGATGCCATTAAAGCTTAATTAAATTGTATTTCGGACTGGAGTTTCATTCACAATTTTTTTTTTTTTTTTGTCTAGGCTTACATATGGTTTTAACTCACATTTTTATGGGATCTTCACATGGACTGGAGTTTGGACAGCAACATAAGGAAAAAGCAAAAAAAAAAAAAAAAACAGACGCATAATGAAAAAAAAAAAAAGAAGCACAATCGGAGCAGAATAGGGTAGAATCAGATCAAGAAAAAAAAAAAGAATAACCAGAATCGGTGAAGGAGCAGAAGACAAAAGAAAAAAAAATTGAAGAGAGAAGAAGAGACTAACCTCCATAGTCCAGACCAGCCCTCCAAACCCTCAGTCCAGCAACAACAATGGTGTAGAAGTAGCGAAAAACTCAAAGCCTTGGAGTGTAGCAGTGGAGAACAGCACTGATCGTGTAGCAGTGGAGAGCAGCAATGGAGAGCAGCACCAATCGATCGTGTAGCAGTGGAGAGCAGCACTGATCGAAGCAGCACTGATCGAAGCAGTGGAGAGCAGCACCGATCGATCGTGTAGCAGTGGAGAGGCAGCACCGATTGAAGCTATCTGAGAAAAAATAAACAAAATTAGGTTAGGAGTTTTATTTATAGGATAAGGGAATAATTCGGTACATTAATATCTTAAAATTTTTTTTGCAATCGCTTAATCCTACGGTCTAAATTAAAAATAAAATATTTCGCCTCTTATAACAAAAGCGATCGCTTTTTCGCTTTTTTCGCTTTTTTCGCTTTTTTCGCTTTTTTCGCTTTTTCTCGCCTCACTCACGTTCGCTTCTCCTGTGGTCCTCCAGGCGAGCTAGTCTCGCCTCGCCTCGCTTCTCGCCTAGGCGAGCGCCTAGGCGCGCTTTTCATAACACTGGCGTGTCTAGTGCCAAAATCTACTCTGTTGAGGAGATTTTCATATCTTTAGCAGGCAAGCAAGATTCCTCTTAAAGAAGCGGGCCAGATTGAATGGCATAAGGGATTTCGAACTTTAAAAAGTGAGATGAAAGAAGAGAAATGGATTAGAATTGAACAAAAGTGCTTCACCATTGAAGCTTTGTTTAAATGTTGTAACAACTATTTTAGTTTCATTGAAAAGAATCATAGAAAGGTTTTTGCATTGGATGTTGATAGAAATGATGCATTATGGCTTGAAAAACGCTTTCAAGAAGCTTCTAGAGATGAATAGAAAGGATTTTTCTTTAGGAAATGCGAGGTGACGCATGTTCGATGTGGATGGATGTGGTCGATATTAGAATTACTAAATTGCTTCAAAATGGTGAAAAGAATAGGTGTCATTGTCCCAAAAGGGATGGAAGGAAAAGGCTAGTATCATCTTGCTTTAGCTCGTAGGGATGTGGGGAATGGAAGGACCAGACAAATAATCAAAGTACATACATAACAAAGAAAGAAAAAGATATAGTATCTTACGGTGGGTCAATTGGCAGTGATTTTGCTCAGTTTGTACAACATGAAAATGATATAATTGTTGATGGCGGGATGAGATCATGCAATGATTTGTGTTAGAGAAAGCATTTTTGATTCGTCGAGGGGTATCAGACACTCATTGGCTAGAAATATAAATTCCTAAGTGCGACTCTTTCCCTTCGAGGTTGATAGTGCGATTATGTTTATGTTTTGCAAAACTTCTACTCATTCAGATGAGATTTGTGGATAAGAGAAATGCCATTTAAAAGTTCATTTTCTAGTGAAATCCCAGAGGTGGAAGGTGGAATCAAATTCGATCCGCAGTAGAGTATTGTTTTGGGGGGCTGAATTGGAATTGCGGGGTTACCTTCATCTCTGGAAACAAATAATATATTTTTAAGAAAATAGGTTATTGTTGTGGTGGATTCGTTATATTGACCTTGATCAATCTAAAAAATTTGTTTATGGTCAAAATAAAGGTGAAAAGAACGTGTTCAAAAATTAATCTGGCGTTTTATTGTCTGTTACACTCTAGAAATTCAACTTGAGGGCAAGATGTATCGGGTCAAAGTTACGATTCTTTCAAGGCTTTGGGCCGATGTTTTTTTTTTTTTTTTGTTTGGAATAGGAGAACACTAGCTGAGTGCATAGAGATTCCATGCATTGGTTGAGAGGTTGAAGATGATGAATTAGGTCAAATGGGTACACGTAAGTCTACGGGTATGCAGAGGGTTGGTTATTCGAAGGGTAAGGCTAAGAGTAATGGGCTAGAATTAAACATGCCAGTGCATGATTCTGGGTCGAGATTAATGGTTGGTAATTGTGTCATTAATGACGTTTATTCCAAAGATAATGGAGCTGTTAAGCAGGATTTTGAATTACAAAACAAGGATAATGACACTTTAATTTTGAATTTATCATTAAATCAGCATAATGGATTGGGCTCTAGGGAAGAAAATAGTTTTGGTCTTAGGCTAACTAAGGAGTTGGCTGAAGCCCAATTGGTTAGTAACAGTGATCGTTGGCCGATTGACAAGAAGAAAATTTCATCCGGTCTGTCTAAACTCAGGCCATTTAAAGCGAAGCCGTAGATCATTTTAAGTGGAATTTTAACTCGGATCTAGGTCAAAACCATCTTTCTATAAAATCTCTATAGTGTCTCACTTTGACGACTTCGTTTGATGATTTGAGCATTGGGGCTCAGTCAAAAAAAGAGTTTGATACAACACTTCAGATGTCAATGCAAGTATTGCTGAATCTAGAGCTATGTTTGGTAATTATCCTTCTTTCGATATTTTGTATCTTTTGCCCAAGGAATCATCTCAAGGTGTGGTTCCCAATTCTGGGGAAAATGTGTTTCACAGTTTGGGGAATCGTGAGTTTTGTTGTCATATTTCTCTTAGTCTTCCTCTAAAATTGAAAAATCTTGGGGGTGAATTTTTTGAGGGTGAGGATAGGAGTTTTGACGAGTCTTAGAGGATTAACTTTGAAAAAATATTAGGATAGAAATAATTATTTTTGATAATAGAACATCCATTGGCGAAAAGGCTTTGGCAATCTTGAGCTACTTGCCCTTGAAAATCTTCCCGAGAGGAGTAATGTTCTCCTGGCTTTGGCAAATGAGAGCGCCATAGGAACTAAGGGAGTGGGGGAAAGAGATTACTTGGTTAATGAAGTTAATTGGATTAGAGTGAGAGATTTTTTGGCAAAAATGGATCTCTTGTTACTTTCGATTATAAACAAAGGTCGAAATAAGAAAACAAGAACTGGGTTAAAGCGAACTAGGAGTTTGAGGGAGTTAAACAATTTAGAATCGGGGATTAATTACAAGCTAGGAAGCACGGATATTCGTCGGGGGGTCGACGTGGCAATGTCGAACATGTGTTAACACGGATATGCGTGGGACACGGCCGACACGTTTTCGATACTTCTTCAAGTGTCTTGAATAAGAAAAGATTTTTTTTCCAACTGGATACTGCTTGAATACGTGATTGACATGTGGAGGATATCGGAGCGTTGTTGCCTTCGTTACCAGTTCAAAATCGCAACAGAGAGAAGAAGGCTTTGGCGATTGAACTAGTCTCCAGATCTGCTTCGGCAATGACGAGGAGAAGGAGGAGCAGAAGAAGGAGAGGTAAGGCCATACTTGATAGAAGAAACAATTAGCCACAGATATCTCCCTCTTCAATACATCACGTCCAGATTTGGCCTCGTCTTCGATATTTTCCTTTTCTTCATCTTTCCTTCTTCTTCATGATTCTCTACAAGCTTTGGTGAATAGAGACTTTACTCTTATCTCTCTTTCTCGATTTGAATAAACTCGTTTCCTTTAGTTTTTCCTTTTTTAATATTTTTCTTCTTTTTTGATATAATTTATTTATTAGTTGTCAAATACATTAACCCACCATTGCCCAATTTGGTGTTAGTCCACAATCCAATTTGGTGTTAGCTCACACCCCCAATTGTAACATATTAGTCCATTGTCTATTTTGATATTAGCCCATTGTCCAATTGTAAGATATTAACCAACTACTCAATGATTGCTAGGTCTTGTTATCTATATAAAAAATAACAAGACCTAACAATCATTGAGTAGTTGGTTATTCTTGTTGTACCCGTGTCCTATATTTTAGAATTTTATCGTATCTCAGTGTCCATATTGTATCAGATACTACACCAGTATCTATATCCATGCTTCTTAGATTACAAGGAGAATAGCATTAGGAAAGGGGGAAGGGGAGATTTAGTAGTTTTATGAAGATTGTGAGTTGGAATATGCGTGGGATAGGGACTAAAAAGAAAAGAAGCACCATAAAGGAAGTGGTGATTAAGGTGGAACTAGATATTGCAATGTTGAAAGAGACCAAGAGGGAGATAGTAGATAAAATAATTGTGTCTAGTATTTGGGGAGTTAGATTTAAGGATTGGGATTTTTTTACCTTCATGTGGTAAGTTTGGGGGTTGGTCATTGTATGGGATGTTAGGGTTGTACTTGCTGTAAAGGTTGTGATGGGAGAATATACTCTATATGTTCTTTTTAAAATGAGAAATAGATTAGAGTGGTGGTTGTCAAGGGGTGTCTGGTCCTAATTGGCCTACACTGAGGAGAGATTTTTGGTGGCTGGGTTGTACGATTTGTGTGGCCTTAGATGAATCTTTTGGGTGATCTTAATGTGGTGAGATATGTGTCTGAAAAATCATTAGAGGTAGGAGAACTAGAAGTATTATTGATTTTAATGAATTAATTGGGATTTGTGTGAGCTACCCCTAGGTAATGAGGGACAATCTTGGGCTAATATGAGGGATAATCTTGTTTGTTACCGCCTTGATAGGTTTATATATTTCGAAGTTACGAGACTATAAACTTTAGTTAGAGTAGTATCGGATCATTTTCACATTATTTTAAATTCTAGTGCTTTTAAGTGGGGTCATGTTCCTTTTAGGTTTGAGAATATGTGGTTGAAGCATTATAGGTTTAAGCTAATTTTCAAGTGATGGTGGCAAGAGAGTGAGGCACAAGGTTGGGAGGGTTTTAAATTTATGAAGAGATTAGACATGTGAAGCAAAAAGTCAAGGCTTTGAAATAAAGAGGTGTTTGGTGATGTTAGGTTGGAAAAAAGTATGTACATGAATTGTGTTTCTAAGCTTGATAGGCTAGATGTATTGGGAGAGCTCAACGATATGTTAAGAAATGAGATATCAAAATTAAGGAATAAGTTTGAATAAGTTGTGTTTAAAGAGGAGATAAGTTGGAAGCAAAAAAAAGAAGAAGGAAATTGGGTTAAGTTTTTGTAGAAGAAAGAAGAACTTGACAAGTAAACTTGTGATAAGTAATGGTTGAGTGATTGATAATATTAAAGCTCTTTATACGACTCAAGAAGAGCGAGACTGATTTTGCTAGCTAAAAATTAGAGTGACCTTTTGAGGAGAAGTACCAGAGGCAGTTTTTGAGTGTGGTAGAGATAAATCCCAAGACCCAATGGTTTTTCATTGCCTTTGTTCCAAGGTTGTTGGGAAGTGGTTATAGATGATCTAATAAAGGTTTTTTGGGGAGTTCTTAAGAATGGTGTGGTGAATGTAAACATTGTTGCTACTTTCATTTGCTTGATGTCTGAAAAAAGAATTCTTAAAAAATTGTTGATTTTAGACCGATTAGTTTAGTCACTACTTTGTACAAGATTGTAGTAATGGTGTTGTCAATTAGATTGAAGGTGATTTTGGGGAAATACAATATCTAGAAGTCAAAGTGCTTTCGTTATGACTTATGTGTAGCTAAATTTGGATGGTGTTTTGGTGGTGAATGAAGTAGTTGAGGAGTATAGAGTGAAAGGTAAGAAAGGAGTTATTTTTAAAATTGACTTTGAACAAAGCATATGAACATATGGATTGGAGATTTTTGGATTTCTTTTTCAAAGTTAAAGGTTTCGGGAGTAGGTGGAGAAGATGGATTAGTGATGCTTATCTTCTATGAATTTTTCATCTATTATGAATGGCAAGCCGAGGGGAAGAATTAATGTATCTCACGGTTTGAAGCAAGGGACCTCTTTTCACCTTTCCTCTTTACCTTGGTGGTGATGGGATAAGTAGTTGGTGGGAGGGGATTAGAATAAAATTTAGTGGAAGGTTTTATTGTGGGACATGACAAAATTAACGTTTCTCATCTTCAATTAGCGGTGGATGATAGCATTTCTTGTCGAGTGATGAGCATAAATTTCAGAATTTGGTGTATATTGTCTGCATTTTTAGTTTGTTTTAGATTGAAGGTGAATTTGTCCAAGAGTTTTTGCTGGTGTTAATACTATTAGGATTAAGATTGAGGATTTGACTAGGGGATTAGGTTGTGAATTGTGTGAATGGTTTTTAAAATATGGCCTTCTGGTGGGGGTAGCCCTTTGTTTCTCAATTTTGGAATCTAGTGGTGGATTAGTTAACAAAATTCACTACAACCCTAATGATCCACGATTTAGGTATATCGATCCTAAATATACTATATTAAATTGTACATATAGTACAAATTTAAAATATATATTGATTAACTACGTGTATATAGATTTATAATTATATATTGTTTTAAATAATAGAAAATTTAGCACAAATGTAAAATAAATGATAATCAACTTAGTGTTTTTTTGGATGTTTTATGATATATAATGTTGCATAATGGTGAAAATGATTCAGATAAGAGTTCTAAAATGAATTGCAAACCAAAATTCCGTACCAGCTAAATTTACTCCCATCGTATGTGTACTTAAGAAAGTATCGTACTGCATATTTGTACCCATATTATGTACCAAAATGACCCATGATCTAGGTAACATTGGAACAAGTGCAAAAAAGTTAGATAGTTGGAAAAAATGTTGTTTGTCTCGGGGAGGGAGGCTTACTTTGATCCAATCAGTTTTGGATGGTATTCCTATTTATATGTCCCTTTTTAAGATCCCAAAGAAAGTGGCTAAGTTTTTGGAAAAGATGATGAAAGAGTTTTTATGGAAAGGTAGTGGAAAAGAGAAAATAGATCATCTTTTTATGTGGGAAGTTGTGTCAAACCTAAATAAAAAGAGGGATAGTTGTAGACAACACGTTACATTGAGGGTTGAGAATGGGAAAGTATTTTTTTTTTGGGAATATATTTGGATTGGTGAGTATCTCATGCCTTGTTGTTCCTCCGATTGCTTGGTTTATTGGGGTTTCACAAATATCTAGTGACTAGGATGTTGTGTTCTTCAAATTCTCCTTTCGGGGGATGACTGGAACTTCAATTTCACAACCTATTTAATCAGGAAACCTCAGAGTGTTCTTCCCTCCTTTCATTTCTTGATTGATGATCCAAATGATTCTATATTTGCAGTTTCAAACTTCACTTGACGATTTGGAAGGCAAGAGTGTTGGTTGGGTGCCAGCTTAGATAATAGCTCATGATAAGGTAGTTTACAACATATTGACTATGAGATATGCCTTTGATATGTTGAACATGAGGTAGTTTACTTTTGTATTTGTTGGTTGGATTACAGTCCAATCACATTGCTTAATTGCTTTTATTATCATTGTTGATATAATTGTTGAGTTTCATGGTGGATTGGTTGAAGATTAAAATTCATATATTTTTTGTTAGATTTATTCACCCATTTTTGGTCTTAGTCTAAGGTCATTCAATGGTTCATCAATGGCCCATAATCTTGTATCTAAATGTTCCTGGCTTTACTATAATTTCAGTCTATGTCATTGATTTGGATTATGGATTTGCCAGAGTGTGTTTGTGGTGTATTATGAATGAAGGAAATGTGATAAAGGAACCGAGACCTTTAAGAATGAAGAATAACTCTGCTGATTGTACCATTTTAGATCTCCATTATTGTAAGACTAATCTATGCTGGGTCCATCTCTAGGAGAATTAAGAGGTTTATGAAAAAATGGTAGGAGACACATATAAAATGGGGAGTGATGAAAATTGATGGGTAGTGTAAAGAGAGTTTGTATCCTACATTGAATGATTTGGAGTATGTAAGGTTGGTTTATATGCTTAAAAAACAACTTCACTCGTTGCCAATTGGTTTCAGGTTGGATGCTCTAACATGATATTAGAGTTGAACTTTTAGTCATTGGTGGGATGGACCTCTTACCCATTTGAATTTTTTGGTAAGCATCTTTGTTTTTTTGTCTATTTGTTTGTTAGACTGATGTACGAGTCTAGGTCCCACGTGAAGGAGGGTGTAAAGAAAGTTAGCATCCCATAGAACGACCAAAGGTTGGTTTATATGTTTTAAAGGGTGTCTCCACTCATCTCTAATTAGTTTTGAGATGCTGTAGTAGGTAGAATTTGAAGAGAAATGATTTGTACTATTGTAATTATTTTGCCATATTCGAATGTGAACTAAGTGGATAAGTGTCATAGGGTAACACTCTATTTACAGACTTTTTCACATAGGAGGCTACCTATGAAAGCATTGCCTTAGCAACCAGCCACTCAAATTTGTAAAAGGGCGGGTGTGCACACACACACACACACACACAATCAACATTCGAAGTAGGGGGAAAATATTCCCCAACCTTATGTTATTGCTCAAACAATACAAGGAACTCACAATATCGGTTAAGGACTCTCTTACCTACAGACTGCCTTGGCATTCCCTATTTATACGAGGAAGATGACAGTTGACACCCCTAACTACCTAGGGGGTTTCCTGGCCCAACAACTAATAGTTTGCAATCAAAATTGTCATGTCAGGTTGGCATCTCTTCTTGACAGGTGGCTGTTGGTTACTCCCATTCAGCACCTGACTTGATAACTGTCCACAAGCTCACCCATGGTTAGGTTATGCTCGATAACTGTCCACAAGCTCACTCATGTCAGGTTGGCATCTCTTCCTGCAACTGCTTCCCATGACCCAGTCATGCATAGCAACTGCTCTTAACCACCACGATTCCTTGGTCTATACATTGAGAAGACCTGTCCCAACCATGTGCCCCAAAAACCAAGCCTTACCTACGAACCAATCAAGCATGTTGAGCCAAGCCCAAGCCATGCCTTGCGAGGCCATGCACTAACATTGCATCGATTGTGTCTACTACGTGTTGCCATCCTCAGTTGAGTGGGGACTTGCGTAGTTATGGGTTCCCCAACTTTTTCGAACCCACAATTATCTCACGTTCCCATTTTTCTTGCCTCAACCAGTGACAAGGACTTTGCTTGCGTGCCTTGCCCAACAATGCCAAGGCTTTTTTTTTTTTTTTGGGGGGGGGGGGGGGGGGCATAAGAATTGTCAGGCCTTTGGTGCCCCTTAACTATCACCACCCTCCTATATATGCTCTGAACGGACATCAGTTGAGCCGAAGAATTATAATGGCTGGAGCCTTTTGTCTAACACCTTAGCTACTTCATCTTGGTTCAAAGTCATGGGGTGCCCTGGTGCAAGGTGCCCAAGGTTCAAAATATCAACCAATACCAATACAAGTCGGCTGAAATGTATTCAACTTGGCACCTTTCGAGTCGATACCATTACATGTTACGTATAAGTCCCAAATTTTGCACGACTCATCTGAGTCGTCTTTGAGTCAATCCCGAGTCACAGAGTTATTGTCAACTAATCGGTCGAGACGGTTCTTGCACTTTGCAATATGACTTGAATTTCTTGCCATTTATAACTTCTTCATATCGGCCTATACCGTGACATTCTGACCAATATGTCTCAAAGCCCTCCAAGTCAATGGCTTTTGACTAATCTGTCTCAGAGCCCTCCAAGTCAATATTCGATACCGTGACCTTGAATCATGTAGGTGCCACCAGGACACCCTTTTCCACCCAAGTCAATTGGGGGCTGACAATAAGCATGAAAGACAGTCACTGGAAATACTTGTTAACAGTCACGTTGTTAAGTCAAGGATTGTAATGGATGAACCTGTATTTACAAAGACATCAAGTTTATGGATGAACCTGTATTCACGTTGTTAAGTCATACATCCTTGAATATGCTCCTGTTTGGTGGTTTTCATCTTGGTTTGCATGTTTGCTTTGTATGTTTTAACTGGGTCAATTATTTAATTGGAGGATTCTTACTGGTAGAAATTTAGCATGTTATTTATTCAAATATGATTTACCTTTTACATAAGTGATGATTTGAGCAGCTTAGATTTTGTTGCCCCTCTCAAATAATTAATTTTGTAATGCTGGCATCACACTATGCAATCTTGATTAGATTTTAATAGCTAGTTGCCATGAGGCTGTTATATGAGTTACTATTCTTGACAATTTTCTTGTGTCTGGATTGAAGGCAGTCTGTTATCTGAATAGTTATGAGGTGGATTTCAGCGGGGGACTGTTTCATTTCCAGGATGGGGAACCTACAACCATTGTGCCCATGGCTGGTGTAAGTGGTTTAACATTTCGATGAGTATTGCTTTCCAGAACATGTATGAATGGTGAATTATTCATAGATCTGGAATGGAATGTAAAGGAATGATAAATTTGCTGCTTGTAATGGATTGATTTAGCCTAAGGATCAAAAGACTAGGGTAGTGCTTGATTATCTTGTGTGTTTTTTTGTTTCTCATGTAGTGCTTCAATATCTGTTGTCATATTGTTGGGAGTAATTATTCACTATTTGCCATTATCAGGATGTTGTGATGTACACTGCTGACAGCAAAAACATTCATTCTGTTGATGAGGTAGCTCTGAAATACTCTCCCAATTTTCTTAATACCGTTTTTGTGCTTGGGTATCTTTCTTTTTATTTGTTTTGCTATCTTCTATAGCACAAGGTATATATTCTATTTATCCTCTGACTTCATCTTGCTGAGTGAAATCTGGGGATTCATATATTCTAATCACATAATAAGTTTCTGCATTAATTAACAAAGTTATATGCATTAATGCAAAATTACTGATACAAGAGGAAGAGCACTTAATTTCAAATCACATTGAAGATGCATGCACCATAAATTGAATTAGTGCATCTATTGAATGTGGCACTTACCTGTTTTGCGGAACTGTATTTTTTTTTGTTACTCAATCAAACACATAGTTCACAATTAAACATATCATGAAAAAATTGCAATCACGGATCTATGATGCACGACCACAGAAACAAAGTATAAACTTCTAAGGCAAGCTCCTTTTTATCCATCTATTACAGCAAACCAAAAATTCATTGTTAGAGGCTGATAGATAAATGTTTAAAGTATGAAGTAGTAAACAATTCCCACTTGAGAGGAATTCATGTAGATAGTGTTTATGTGTTTTAATTGTACGACAATATGCTTCATTGCAGTCCATAGTCGAAAGCCGGAATATCCCAGTCCATAGGTTTGTCCGATATTCATGACCTTAAAACAATTTGGATCTTGAAGTTTTCATTTACATATAGGCAAAGGGAGAAGATAGGAATTTCATTTGTTTCTAAAAGATGCCATCTTTTATCATTAACAGAGCATTAAACTACAGTTGCACTGGTATTCTCATATAAAAGGGCAGTGAAAGAACTTGTCTTTGTCAGCACACAAGTTTGATTTTTCTGTTGAAAATGTGCATATATGCGCTTGACATCAATTATTTTCCTTCATTACAATCTCACAGAAAAATGGTTCTCCTTTACTATTAATTTCATTTAAGAAGGTTCTATAAGTGCTAAAGTTTTGATGCTCCTTTTTGTATCTATAAACAGATTACTGATGGAGAAAGAATCACGCTTACATTGTGGTTCAGCCGTGATGGATCTCATGATGAAGATGCTAAATTGATTTCTTTTCTCTCCCAAAAGCCGTTAAGTAGTTTGAACACCAAATTTGAAGCATACCTACCTATGACAGGCTCCAATAATATGTATAGGTTTCCCCCTGATAAAGCTTCAAATTTGCAGTCTGAATTTGACATACGCTTTGCAAGGATACACTTCCTTGGATTCAATCTTTATTCTTCTCAGGACAAGAGTTTTTCAGCAGTAGATTCATCTTGCAACTTCTCAGAACTGCTGATCAAGCCATTACAATTGGCGCGCGGAGATGAGTTGTTTGAGAAGGAATTTGTCAACATATTGCATGCCCTTCAGGTACTCTTGCATGTTCTTCCAACGTTACGTATCCCTACCTTTTGTTTAAGTTATCAGTGCAGTCTTAATGCAGAGGCAGGCCTGACATATTTGTCTTGGTCTTCATAATTTGCGATACTGTCACTGCTGTTATGCCTATTATTGCTCAATATTTGGAAACTAGAGTTTCGTTTGCATTTTTCTTTTAATACTTAGAATTGTCTTTTTCAACCGATTAGTTGATGGCTTGCAAAATTACAATTATAAGATGACACTGACGTAAATGTAAGCAAGTACTCTGGCCTATTGATGCACTTACCAGGCATAGAGGATGTATGCATGAGAAACTTAATAATTTTGTGAATGGAGGTTTATGTAGGCAAGTCTAATGCATTTTGTACAAGTTCCCTGTGCAACTGAAATTTCGTATCAGACTAGTTGTATTGTACTGTTGATTTTGTTTTTTTTTTTTTCAAATCATTCTGCTTTTGTTGCAAAATAGGTGCTGCACTTTTACTTTTGGAAGGGCTCTGAATTGCAGACAACCGAGGTTAAAGATCAAACTAACAATGTGGTATTGGTAACCCACTCACAACGGGAGAAAATTCATGATCTAAAACTTGTATTTCTGAAGGATCATCAGGTGGCAGAGACATTTTTTGGGGATGTGTCTCGTGGCAAGAGCATGCAGCATTCGTTTGATTGGGTTAGTTTTTCTGCTGCGGTAATTGCGTGGGAAGCTTATACCTGCAAGTTAGTAAAAGAATTGCTTATGAGCTTACCGTACTGGAAAACAAATCAAGCTATATTCTCTGATCCCTCGGGAGGTCCTGTGGAACATAACATTTGTGGTTCTTAATATCAACCACTTTTGGTCCCTGATCTATATGTGTAAGCAATCCTTTGGTATGTAGTCACTCTATGAGAAAGCGTGAAAGATGAGAAATATCAAAATGATAGATCTGATTTTTGTGGATATTTACTTTTGTATCTATAATAGTGGTAAAAATACTAATAAATTATTCACAAAAGTGGTGAATTTTTTTTTTGTATGGAAGAAAAGTGAATAAAAATTTAAAATAGTTATTACCATAGTAATAAAAACACTCACATATGTGATTAAATCATCCACAAAAGTGGTAATTTTTTTTGTTATAAAATGACTTATAAAAATTGTAAAAATACCTATTGAAGAACATAATTTAGGAACATAATAAATTGTGATCAATGGATGATAGTGGATAGTATTTAAAGATGGGATCCATTGAAGCATTAAATGCATTCTAGTATCACTTCATTAGTCAGAATGTTTTATGTCTCTAAATTATTTTCTAAAGTCATTGCTCAATTATTAATATTTTTTTTAAAAACATTATTTATGTATATTTAAAATTATTATAAATATATTTAAGTGTCTACTTTATTATTTTTGGTTCTATCAATTAATATAGTCATATAACCCAATAATTATGAACTTTTGGACACCCTTTGGATATATCTGGATAAATTTTTGATATGTTGGGCTCATTTTTAAAGTTATAGATATTATGAAAACTAGATTAAATAACATAATGAGTGATAATGGCTAATAGCTTGATTGGTTATATAGAGAAAGACTATAATATCTTTTATGTTGTTAGTCCCACTTGTTGTGAAGGGTTGTAATTCGCCTCTTTTTTTTTTTGTTTTTATTTGTATATACTATATTTTTTTATGTTTGATAATTTTTGTATTTTTATGAATCTTTAAGTATCAAATACAATATTATAAATTTAAATACATTATTTTATTTTTATTGATTGGTAGAAAAAAATATAAATTTTTTGAGTAAAGTGCCACCCTAGACAAAATTTTTGGCTTTGCCACTATTGACTAACGACCTAACGGTTGAATTATTAACACATTGATTCAATCTCTTTGTCAAGTTGATGTTGATGTTCGGGTCTGGTTTAAAAACTATGTTTATATGGGTGAGTGTGATAAACATGAGTTGTACTCGACCGTATACAATAGAGTGTTTAGATGAGTTTCTTATTTTGAAAAATTTAAAAGTTTTCTATCACTCGTAGTAAAATTGCTTGGTTCTAAGAATACACATAATTCTCTCGTGGGAATCGAGACCAGAAGCTATTATACTTTTCTTGAGAAGAATCGAGATTAAATATCAAGTTACTCAATCAAACACAAATAAATGCTAAGCAATAAAGAATTTAACCACAAAGTTATCACCTCGTACACATGCAAACTTAGCAGTTATATTAAACATCAGGTTGATAACACATCCACCAACTTGTACACCCACTCACGAGGTCAACACACATTCACCGGACACTCTTTAGCTTATGTATATAGGTGTCCTAATTGTTTCTCTCGTCAATCCTATTCACAATATAAACAGATCACACTAAATCCCATCCCGTCTCACTCCCCCACATCGGTCACTGTAGAAGCATCCGAATCCACCTCCGCTTAATCCACCGGTTTAATCTTCTAACCTCCGATCGTACAAAACCAGAACAGAATTTGGTGAATTTGATGAATGAGGAGCTAATTCTCTTTGATATGAAAACAGTAGGGTTGAGATTTTTCCTCAATGGGTTTTTTCACAAGTTGGGTATTTTCTTGGTGTGTTCTCTCTGTATGCAGAGAGCCTTATTTATAAGGGAGGATTTAGATAGCCGTTCAACTAGTCGTTATCACTTAACAAAATATCCTCAACTCCCCAATATTTTCTCAACTCTCCAATATTTTCTCAACTCCATCAGTATTTTTTCAATCCTTTGCAGTCAAAGTAGGCTAATTATACTCTAAGTGAGATTGACTAGTTTTTTCCTACTTGATGGGTCCCTCTAGCCAAGTAACTCATATTGACTAGAAAAGATCCAACTCAAACATCCAATTATATCAATGCAATATATGTATGCATGCATCGTTATAAAATAATTAATTTATATATAATAATTTGACAAAAAATGCATCTATGATATATGTCATGAATAATGTAATATTTAACCAACGGATTGATGTTTTATATATTCTAGATTTGACCACCAACCGTGATTTAATTAACATCGAGGGATTTTAGCCACGTATTCCAACATTTCTCACTTGCCTATAAGCCCGACATATTCATTCATAACTTAAACCCATAACAACGACATGTCGTTTAAATTCTTCGGTTCCAATAGATTTTGTCAATGGGTCTGAAACCATATCTTTTGTATAAAGATAGTCAATAGTAACATGTTCCTTTTGTATTATATCACTTATATAGTGAAATTGTAACTCAATATGCTTACCTTTAGACCCGATTTCACCATTTTTAATTGTTTTTATCGCAACCTCATTATCACAAAAAATATGAATAGACATATTATTTACACATGTAAGTTTTAAATCAGTTAGAAACCATTTTAACCATACGACTTTGGAGACAACCATACTACAAGCAATGTATTCAGCTTCCCTAGTACTTTTAGTTACGTAACCTTGCTTTTTACTAGACCATGAAATTGTACCACCACCAAAAACAAATATATAACCCAAGGTGGATTTTCTATCATCAATATCACTAGCAAAATCAGCATCACAATAACCATTAACACTTATATCATCAACTTGATATGTTAAAGAAAAGTCTAATGTATTTTTTATGTATCTAAGTACACATTTCATAGCTAACCAATGAGTTATACCCGGATTACTTTGATATCTACTAATCAAACCAACAACACAGGTAAGGTCCGGTCCAGTGCATAACATAGCATACATAAGATTACCAACAACTTCCGCGTAGGGTTTATGTTTCATTTCTTGTATTTCCTCTTTAGTTTTAGGAGCTATATTCTTAGACAATTTTGCTCCTTTGTAAATGGGTGATTCAATAGGTTTACAAGAATTCATTTTAAATTTCTTTAAAATATTTTCTAAATAAGATTTTTGAAATAAGCTCAATTTTCTTTGCTTTCTATCTTTAGAAATTTTAATTCCAAGTACATGATGTGCTTCACCCATATCTTTCATTTCAAACATAGTGTTTAACCAATCTTTTAGTTCGAAGATTCTATTTATATCATTTTCGGCAAGTAAAATATCATCTACATACAAGGAAAGAATAATATAATAACTCTCACTATTCCAAATATATATACAATAATCATAGTTATTTGAAACAAAACCATATGATATAATTGCATTATGAAAAGTATGATACCATTGCCATGAGGATTGTTTTAAGTCGTATAAGGATTTATTCAATTTGTACACCTTATCTTCTTTACCTTTAACTTCATATTCTTGCGGTTGATACATATAAATTCTTCTTTAAGTTCACCATTAAGGAAAACAATCTTAACATCCATTTGATGTAACTCTAGGTCTAAATATGCAACCAAAGACATTAATATTCTTATTGAGGTAAACTTTTCTATGGGAGAATATGTTTCATCATAATCTATACCTTCCGTTTATGTGTATCCCTTAGCCACTAGTCTAACTTTATATTTATCTATAGATTTATCTTATTTAAATTTTTTTTAAGGATCCATTTACACCAAATTGCTTTTCTATCTATTGGTAAATCAACTAACTCTCAAACTTTATTTTTTTCTATAGATTCTATTTCTTCTTTAGTTGCTTCTCTCTATTTTAGATGATCAATTGAATTCATAGTATCATTAAAATCAATAGGATCATTTGAAATTTCTTCACTATTGAATGCATAATAATCTTTTGAGTAGCTAGGTGGATGTCTTTCCCTTTGTATTCTAGTTAAAGTATCCTTGGGTGGAGGCTCTTTTATTATTTGCTCTTGTGGTTGTTTATTTTCATTTTCCTTAGTAATTTCAAATAGTTCAACCATTTTTTCAATTTTATCTAAGTTATCCTCAAAGAAAAATGCATGTCTACTTTCAATAACTCCCACTTATCCATCACTATGGTGAATTACAAATCTATAACCAATATAATTTTCACAATATCCAATGAAAGTACATTTTATGGATTTAGGATCTAATTTCCCTCTATTAGGTCCTAAAATTTTAACATGAGCTGAACTACCCCAAACTTTTAAGTGAGAAAGATTTGGTTTTGTACCCCTCCAAATTTCATATGTTGTCATTCCTATTTTTTTTAGATGATACTCTATTAAGAATATAAATGACGGTAAAAATAGCCTCACCCCAAAAAGTAGTACTTAAGTGTGCATGACTAAGCATAGATGTAACTATGTCAAGAAGTGTTCTATTTCTCTTTTTGGCTATACCGTTTTGTTGAGGAGTATAAGAAATTGTTAATTGATGTATTATTCCATTTTCTTTACAAAAGGATTCAAAAATTTCAGCCATGTATTCACCACCGCGATTCATCTTTAATATTTTAATTTTTCTGCCTAGTTGATTTTCTACTTCCACCTTAAATTTAATAAATTTTTGTAAGACATTCGATCTATTCTTTAGTAAATACATATAATCATATCTTGAATAATCATCGGTAAAAGTAATAAAATATTCCATACCACAATGAGTTTTAACATTTAGAGGACCACAAATATCCGAATGTATTAATTCTAGCAAATCTTTAGCTCTTTCTAATTTTTCAAATGGCTTTCTAGCCATTTTTCCACTTATACAAGATTCACATGGTTTCAAGTCAAGATCTAAGTTTGGAATCAATCCAATGTTAGCCATCTTTTTCATTTTATTAAAATTAATATGACCTAATCTCATATGCCATAAAATAGAATCAACATTAACATCACAAGAGACATCAATATAAGCAGAAGAATAACCAATTTTATTATTGTTACTAGCAACATTCAAGCGGTAAAGACCATCAACTTTAGTCCCCCATGCAAGAATACGACTATATTTACCAATAGAAACTTTAGAAGACCGAAAACAGACTTCAAAACCCTTATCATCTAATCGTGGCACAGACAGGAGATTGCGCCGTATATCTATAAGATGATCGGACGGTCACAATTCATTTCATCCAACGGCCACTAACATTTCTCTC